TCTCTTAATATCCGTAGCGCTGATGTTGCGACATTGGGATCACGCGGAACAAATTTTTATTGTTAAATTAAAAAAATATAAATATTAAATTTTTAGAAAGGACAATACCATGAATAAACAACTTACGAAACAGATCCATTTGTGTAAAATATTCCACCCGTTGTTTGGAGTCGGGAGCTAATTAAAGGAAATTCTTCATATTTTTATTTACTTAACCCATTTTTCAGTTTCTGTGTTAAAAATACAAAAATTTCGAATTCGCTACGATGTACTTTAATTAAAATGTATGAAATGAAACACGACCAAAAAATTGGAGCGTATAAAAGTAACGGCACGAATCTGTCAGTAACATGTTTTCAAATTGATAGAAAAACCGATCCAAAGCTAAGTTTACCCTTTAGCCGTTAAATGGAAGTAAAGCCTTTTTGATGGGTGGTCTATTAAAAAAATTGATACAATTAGGGTGAGTTCCTTGTTGAACCAATACAGATGCCATGTCATTAGTGAAAATCGGAAGTCATTAGTATCATGGACTTTATATGCCTCTTATTATGGCACCATAACTATTATTGGCACGATTTATGTAACCTAAACTTAGTTAATTTATATATATATATATATATTTGTTAAGAATAAAGAGCAATTCATACCAAATGTTAATAGTTTAAGCTCCACATACGTATCGAATAAATTATACAATGTAAGTTTTGGTTGTAACAAACTCATTAAAAAAAAATAGTGGCGCTATAACCTTTTTAGACATTAAGCCGCAGATTTCTTAATCTGTTTCATGATCACATTTGTGCCTGACACAAGCCGTCGACTTTTTGGGTCTAAGGCAAGAGGGTTGCCTCACGGTGTTTTCCTTCACCGTTCGAGCGAGTGTTAAATGCGCACATAGAAAGAAAGTCCATAGGTGCAAAACCGAGGATCAAACCTACGACCTCAGGGATGAGAGTCACACGTTGAAGCCAATAGGCCACACTGCTCAATAAACTCGTTAGTTTTTCATAAATTATAAGATAACATTCCCGTTCCCAGGAGTGTTAGTACCACTACCCATAATTGTATGTTACCTAATCTTGTTCTGTTCTCACCATTAAAGACAGTTAGCTTCGAACAAAGTGTTGCACCGATGCCGCCACCAAACTTATCACACGTAAATATATTTTTTATTTTCGGTAACTAAAACTACTAATTCCTACTTCTCATGTTGGTTGTTACTACCGTCGCAATGGTTTAGTCAGTAGTACTAGTATATATTATGTATTCTTAATTTGTATAATAACAAAAAACCTTCAATAAACAAAAGCTTAATTTTTTGTAGAAGAAATGTCAATAAAGTCAAAAATTTAAACCGTCACTTACCAACCCAGCGCTCCCGTTCGAGCCATGTGAGATTGTCAGCTTGAGTGTCATAATATCCCAGCTTCACATAATGGTTGTCATACAACTGTTCGATTTGTGTCAGCGCGATTCGATCGCCTTGTGATGAAAACGCCACTAAACCCTATATAAAACATAAACAATTTTAAGCTTAAATAGGAATGGCTAAAGTGATTTAGAACTGATAAAATATAATAATAATAATTCAATTTCAAATGTTTGTATTTACTTATAGCTAAATGTTATTAGTAATATGTGAGTCGTCTGTGGATATACGTATACTGTATAGACACTCTTGGGTCTCCAACCTTTTCCAGAAGTCTCTATCTATACCAATAGTCTGCCAGTATTTTCCTGCTATTTCTGCTGATATAGTTAGTTAGTTATTAATAAGGTGTCGCTTGCTTAGGCTTGCTTGTAAAATGATGTGAATGAATTGAAATTAATTTTTTTTCTTAAACTAAGACTAAGATTTTTTTAAATTGACTTATTAATAGTATACACTAACAGTGTAAAGAGAAGGCATGTATTAAAGATAATTTAAATAGAAATATTTGATTTGTAGTTAAATGGATAATAAAGTAAAAGCTTGGATAACCCTTTTTTTTTAAGTCTTTATCTTGCAATCAGTCAGCTAGACTAGCAGATGTGTTGAGAGCTGTTAGGATAACCCTTAATTATAAAACTTTTTAATAAAGTTAAACTGACACAATAATTATCATACTAAGGTATCAGCTGTTACAGTTAGGTAACTTATAAATAAATTTCCACACCGTTATAAATAATGAAGTAACGCGATATTTCAAGCTGTTCCTTCGAACATTTTGTTGAACACCGTTTGCTTTGTCAAGGATATTTAATATTCATTAATTAAATAAAACTATGTATCTTTTATATGGTCTAAAGTTTTGATTTGAGAAGTTTTAGAGGTAAGTTTAAGGTTTACCCTCTTTTTAAAACAACAAATAAAGGAGGTTATACTTTGACGTATTTTAGAAAGTTATACTTTTTTTGGCGCGTTAGGGAAAAATGATGAGAGTAAATTGTTCGATGCGCGCGCACACCGTCACAAAAAACCGACACCCTGTAGTTAGCTATAGTCAACATTTTTGTTTTTTCTATTGTTAGTGTAGTTTTTTCTACAAACGTATATTAAAAATTTTGAAAAGATTTTTATCTTGGTCTTAGGTGCATGCCTTAATTATTTTACTTTATAGGCATCCGGGGGTTACCCTGTCTTCATTTCGATTCTTTAAGATTAAGCGAAATTTAGCGCTAAGTATTACTACCGTTTGTCAAAAACGTATTGGATTTTGACATACGGGAGATTGCGATAAGTCTCGGCTCTGATTATTACCCTACATGCCGGTTTCATGAGAATGATAAATCGTTTTGTGCATAGCCTGGTTTCGATGGAACACTCACTGAATTCTTATCAGATTAAGCAAATTCTACCATTCATATAATTAAAAGCTACAAGGTAGCCGTACCCTTTCATGCTAACTTTTCTACATATTACTCACCGACACGCCCAGAAATGAAGTGGAGTTTATAGCTTCGTATATATCATCGGCGATCTTTTTATTGGTGTATGTAAAATTTTTCAAGCTCAGTCCGCTTTTCTGTAGTTTCTCCATTGTTTTATTAAAAGCTGGAAAGGGGAAATTTTTATTACATTCTATCCAGTTGGGAAAAGTTTTAACGTTATAAAATGCAAGTCACTAAACGTAAAAGTAAGTTATAGAAATCGCTATAGAGAATATATTACGAGAACACTGTAGGTTTGTTTTTACGTATTTTGTTAAAGTCGGGTTCGAGTTCTGGAGAAACAATTCCTTTTGGCAGGTACAGAAACCGCTTTGTCAGAAACAAAGATATAATGCATTCTTAAGCAAGAAGGAAACATGTTATTTTTAGTCTGAGTTTGGCCATGCATAAGCTGTAAGTAAATAAATAAATAAATATGTAACTCAAAAAATTTAAAAGAACTCAGATTAGTATATTTTATTAAATATTAATTTACTTAAAAAAAACTTGCATTCATTATTGAATCAGCAATTAATCAAATTTTTTTTATTCGTACACAGAACTATTTTCTGATATCGCAAAAATGTGCTTTTAAGAACAAAGACATTAGATTAAAGTTAGATAAGAAAAATGCTTGCAGAACTGAAGGTAAAATTGTCCTGGCCAGCATAAAATTTGTTCCTTTTGTAACAGTAATGCTGCGCACTAGTCGTCACAAGAGGTATTTAGGGTATTTAAGCGTATAAAATTCTTACTTAACTCCTAGCTGTTTATTCATAGTGTAATTATTTTTAATAAGTGAAGTATTAAGTACATACAGTAGTAGTAGTTCATTATTTTAAGAGATCAGTATGTTTGAGGATAATTAATTTTATATTCAATTTGTAGCTATGTTAGTTTAGATTACGAATAAACGAATTATTTAATAAGGCTTTCCTAAGTGATGTTTCAGTGTTTAGTTAAGCTTATGAAAAGAAATTCTTATGTTATTGTGAAACTTAACTATTTTAGGTAATAAAGAAACATTAAAAAAAATATTAAACAAAACTTCCTATAGTATAATACAATATAATATAGTACATTGTTCGTATATATTGATTAATATTTGATCGGCGGTTCCGGGACAAACACCGATGTGGACCAAAAACCGAACACGACCACTCTAAAAAGAGTGCATTATTAAGAAAAGAGACATCTGCAATTCTGATGTAGAGAGTTACTAATATAGACTATCATTTTTATTAGTTCCCTTCAAGGATACTCTTCTGCAGGTTGCTCTATAGCTAGCAGATCAATTCATTAAGATAACGAAGAATTATATGTACGTAGTAAATTGACTATAAACGATTTTTTTTCAAAATGTTATAGTCCTTATTCTGTATTCTTAATTTGAATTTTCTTACCTAACGCAACTGCCCAGACAGCGTCATATGCTAAAGGTGCCTCTTGATATCCTTCTGGAAACTTCTCCCGATCTATGTCATATCCCGCCTCACGCAGAGCTTCGTTTAAGCGAAACCTGGGAATTTAGAACGATTAAATACAATTTAATTTGCATTTTTTAAAAGGGTTTTTGTTGTTATGAATAAATTTTGATATTATTTTATTAGAACAAAAGAAACAACTTGTTTCTAACCAAGGTTTACAGAGAGCAATAAGCAATTTTCAACAAAATATTTCCTTCCTGTTAAAATAAGAAGAGGACAAATCAACAAGGCGAGGAGGAGGCGTTTGACGAGAGACAACCTGATTAGTTGTAATAATAGAAAATAATGTGTATGAAAAAAAAACTTCTTTAGACTAACTACAGATATAAAGGCTTATTTAATTTTTTTATAAAATAAAATTGATAATTTCGGTTATAATATCTAAATAACTCCAGCGAACTATTCAATAGCGATATGATTACAATCTCGACTTGATGTTGTTGAGCTTTGGTATCATGCGATCCCAAGGTTGCGACTTCGGCTTTAAGAAAACTATGTCGACTACAACAAAAATCAGGATCAATTGAACCCGAAATCGGAGCGTGACCTCATTTTATACATGTTGTATGTTCCTGTCCTTACTGAGAAAGTTTCATAATCAGCTGAATATAATTCTTTGCATGGCATGTTGTTTCCTCACATTGTTTTTCTTCGGTTTTTGCGGACGTGACATGGATGTTTAAATAATACGAGTTTTGTTTACGCGTGCTATTTCAGGCCCGGATCATAGAATAGATTTTTCAACATTAGTTTTAGTCGTAATTCTAGTGTCATCTGTATAAAGATTAAGGTGTATTTTTGCTAGATACTTTATCCAGTGGATGGTTTTAGGTTATTTATTGAATTTTTTAAACAAGTATTTTTTATGTAGTCGGGCAGACTACAGTAAACGCGAAGTTTTGGCGATTTCATTCACGAAATGACGCGTTTCGTTTGGTTGTTGGTCAATATATCTAGTCCAACATACGAGATTACATTCGTGCAATAACAACCAGCCATGTATTTACATGAATTTATTTTCGAAAGGTGTATGTTTCCACTTCCGCTTGGTTGCTCTAGTTTTTACATATTGCTTAAAAAAATTGATCTACAACTATTCTATTGTGTTATTCGATTAATATTAAAATTACACTCTAATACTTATGTTGTGGTTGATGTCGGTTGACGCAGAGGACGTCCACCCGCAAGATGAGAAGAGGACATTAAGTTAACCGCCGGCCACCAATGGAAAAAGAGCAGTGCCTGACAGACGACACTAGATGCTACGTATATAAGGAGGCACGCAACTACGCCACATTATAAACATACTTCACTCAAGATAATTTTAGTTCAGTATCAAGGTTGATTATAAGTAAGTTGTAAGTATAAAATTAATATATTAATTCGTCACTTATTTCTCTTATCCTTTTGTCCATCTTTTTAAATGGCCTTGGTTAATTCGATTCGTTGTCATAGCAACGGTTAAAGTATTCATATTCTTGTACCCGTTTATAATGAAAATCAGACAATAACAAAGCCGACGTTCCTTTGTCATTAAAATGATATGCTTAATAACAGTTGATTAAAAGTGCTTCACTGTTTAAATAATGTCCTAGAATGAAAGATTAAAGAAACTACTTAATTAATGAGGTTGATACTTGGAATACTAAATACTAGTGATTTTTAGGTGTTAGCTTTAGACAAGGGTTTTTAAGGTTACAAACGTACTTAAGTGAGGGATCTGAGGGCTTTTAGAATAATCCTGGGATAGGAACTTGAACATAGGTCTTATTATACTGTATTCAAATAACTGTTTGATCCATCATATTAAACAAAGATGAATGTGTACTAGAAGATGTTCATTTCATTGAAGATTATGCCTTCGTAATAAATGATTGTGTACACAACGTAAAAATCAATTTTCTTTAAAATCGAGTGTCTAATTTAGACTTTGGACATTGGAAGGATATGTGTGAGGCACTTACTTAACAAAATATTAACCGTATCTCAAAAAAGGCAATGAGCTGGTCACATTGTCCGCGTTTGGGATAACAGATAGATCAAAAATACCCTTACTTGGAATGGCCCAGTGGGTAGAAAAAAAGAAAAGACGCGCACCAGAAACATGGGAAGATGAAAATATAAGAGAGAGACAAATGATAAAAATCGGAGAATGCCTTCACTCCGTCCGAGGTCGTGTATTAATCTTATATATAAAATTCTCGTGTCACAATGTTAGTTACCATACTCCTCCGAAACGGCTTGACCGATTTTTAACAAATTTTTATATGCATATTCAGTGGGTCTGAGAATCGGCTACTATCTATTTTTCATACCCAAAAAATGATAAGGGTTGTCCACCTACTGTCTAACATTTTATTTTTATTTTTTGGACGAAATTTTAATTTACAATTTTTTTTATGTGCCATTAAAAAATACATGCAACCCTAAATTTTCACCCCTATATCACCAACCCTTATCTTTTATTTGTTAATTAAAATCTTATGACTTGAACTCTGAGGTTTATATAGAGAAAAAGGTAAGCTAAGTAAAATCACATTAAGGAGAAACGAAATTCGCGGGGGCAGCTAGTATTAAATAAAATATCATAATAAACATCATCGTTATTATAGTACCTACTCGAATATAGGCAATAAAATATAATAGGGTAAAAATAGTTAAACATAAATAACCAATTGTAAATAAAAGGCTTATTATTACCATATAATATCTTATGTAAAGCTCGCATTGGATTGTTGGTAATTAATTCTGAGATCTCATTTCCCGACTATTCGCTTCACTAGTAGGATACAGATACGCAGTTACTCTATATATCGAATTAAAACACTTCAAATCTCACATGCGCTTGGCTTTATCTACCTACGTATACCTGATACGCAAACAGAATAGAAAATTATGTAACATCGCCCGGCACGTAAAACTTGTGACAAGCGGTTTTATTTGCTATCATGCTTGAATGCGTCGCACCCCATTCTCTATTTTCGTACAAAAGAAATCGTTGTCACACAAAATTAGATTTGTGAAACTCACTCACAAGTCAAAGATAATTTCATGAATATGCGAATGTATTTAGATATTAAAGGATTTTAGTCAGTATAGAACGGTGTATATATCAAAAGTTTCGGTGTCTATTAACAAGATTATAAGTAATAGTTTTAACAAACCTACACGCACTAACACACAGTTAACGTAACTCGACATTGTATTGTTTTTACGTAAACTTTAAAAGGATAAATATGTTTTTTATTTAATCTTCTTTTATATTTCTTATAGTTACAATATAGATGCGGTAAATGTGTATTTATTATTTGGATATGTAATGACGGCTGCAGACGCAGGACAGAGTGTTATAGTTTTTAACTTGCGACTCTCAACCTTGTTCGAATAACGGTTGTGCGCCATTTGATTTTATATGTCCACTAGCAGACCGGCCAAGCGTTGCTATGGCTAAAGTTTTAGTTATATTACATAGTAGTAACCTATTCAAGGGAAACGGTAGGAGAACAACAGTCATGGGGACCACCATGCTTTTTTGGTGGTAATGCCATTAAATTGTAGCTTATTTGAAACGTTGGTACTTTCAACACAGTGCCATCTGTTAGAAATGTCACTATCAAATAATAAACAAATATTTTGCAATAAAATAATATTTTTTTTTTTTTTTTTTTATAGAACGGGGGCAAACGGGCAGGAGGCTCACCTGATGTTAATGATACCGCCGCCCATGGACACTCTCAATGCCAGAGGGCTCGCGAGTGCGTTGCCGGCCTTTTAAAAATTGGTACGCTCTTTTCTTGAAGGACCCTAAGTCGAATTGGTTCGGGAATACTTCAGTGGGCAGCTGGTTCCACATAGTGGTGGTGCGCGGCAAAAACTGCCTTGAGAAACGCTCAGTTGTGGAACGTCGGACGTCGAGGTGATACGGGTGGAATTTCGTATTCTGCCTCGACGTCCGATGATGAAACTCAGCTGCAGGTATTAATCCGAACAACTCCTCTGAACACTCTCCATGGTAAATGCGGTAGAAGATGCAGAGTGACCCCACATCTCTACGCAACGCCAAAGGATCAAGCCGCTCGGAGAGGGATTGGTCGTCAACGATTCGAACCGCTCTGCGTTGTATACGGTCAAGTGGAAGGAGCTGGTACTGGGGGCCCCCGCCCAGAGGTGAGAGCAGTACTCCATGTGGGGCCGAATTTGCGCTTTATATAGTTGCATGCGGTGGCCCGGAGTGAAGTACCGTCTCGCCTTGAGGCTGAGCACCAACAGCTTTTTGGAGGCTAATTTAGCCTTTCCCTCCAAGTGACCGCGAAACTGAACGTCGCTCGATATGTCAACGCCAAGTATTCCAATGCTGGCTGTGGCTTTAAGAAGAGTGTTTTCGAAAAGAGGAGTAGCGACAAAGGGTGTTTTTTTTAGCGGAAAACGCGCAAACTTGTGTCTTCTTGGGGTTAAATTGGACTAGGTTTTGTCTGCCCCAATCTGAGACTCCACGAAGTTGAGTTTCAACTTCAGACACAAGTTTGTTCCGGTACTCATCAACAACTGCCCGAGAAATACCTGCCCGGCCAGTGTAAAAAGTATCCCCAGTACTGTCATCCGCATAGCAATGAATGTTGCTAAGTTTCAACATATCATTGATATGCAGAAGAAATAGGGTCGGGGATAGAACACAGCCTTGTGGGACCCCAGCGTTTACGGGTTTTAGGTCGGAACATGCTCCGTCGATGACGACCTTGATGCTCCGATCGGCCAGAAAGCTGGAGATCCAATTGCGTAATTTCTCGGGAAGCCCCATAGGCTGGAAGCTTCGAGAGCAGTGCTCTGTGCCACACCCGATCGAAGGCTTTCGCTATGTCCAAACTAACCGCTAGCGCCTCCCCTTGGACTCAATTGCCTCTGCCCATCTATGTGTAAGGTATTACAAGGAGGTCACCAGCCGAGCGACCACGACGGAAGCCGTACTGAGAATCGCTAATCAGCTGGTGGCCCTCTAGATACCTCAAGAGCTGGCTGTTAATAATGGTTTCCATTATTTTGGAGAACAAGGAGGTTATAGCTATTGGGCGATAGTTGGACGGATCAGAGCGATCGCCTTTTTTAGGGATCGGATGTATCAAAGCGGTCTTCCAGCACTTCGGGACAGTGCCGAGCGAGTACAGGTACCGGAAAAGGCGCGTTAAGACCGGAGCCAACTCAGGAGCACAAGTACGCAGCACAATTGTGGGGGATACCATCCGGCCCGCTCGACTTATGAATATTGCGGGTATAAATTGAGATGTAAGCTATCCTACCTTTTAAGTTAGATCAAACTGCACACGGTGTGCATATTTGATTGAAATCGGACAAACAACGTGACACGTAATTTATATATATTAAGATGTAAGAACTTAACACAGTAAAAATTCTGAGGAAATAGTCATATCTATTAACAAAAATCAATATGGACCAGGCACAAAACGTCACCTGCGAAGCGTACTTACCTGAAGTCCTCTGACGTCATTCCTGAGATGGTGGTCTGATTCGAGTTTTGGTTCCACATCAGCGCCTCCGTTGTCAGATGTCCTTCAGCCGCCTCCCGCATTTCTTCAGCCGTGCATTCGATACCTTCCCGCTCCAAGTTCGTTTCAAACCAGTTATCTTCGTACCAGCCTAGAATATTCAATTTATTATCAAAAAGTCGTTGGGACTCTAAAAAATACTCTAAATAGCAAATTTCTTTAGTAACATAATATTTTATGTTACTTTCGGTTTTAATGAGGCGAAAATTATGTTAATTTTTTTTATTTTCCAGTAATATTTGCATTCTTGGTCTGTATGCTTTTCATAAACAAATAAATTATTTTGATACACAGGTGACATATAGCCTAAACTAAGTTATGTTCGTCGAATATGGAGCTTTGACCTATATGCTAATAAATATTATTGATCGAACCATTTCTATTATAACTAGAACTAGAATATTATAATCGACTACATAGTATTAATATTATAATATACTAATATTATAATATTATAATCTTTTCTATTGACGGTATATTATTAATGTTTATAAAATTATGCTATATATTTCTATGCATTGTGCATTAAAGAAAGTGTTTAGGTGTTAACGTGACAATTAAATACGATTTCGAAAGTAATTCGGAATGTTTTAAAGCATTAATGTAACCAAATTCTGGGCAAGGGTCTTAAATCCGCTCTCAGACATTGCACCATAAACACATCACCACTAAGAAGCTTAAACCTAAGTGGGCCAATATTTTTTCAATTTCAATTTCAAAGCCTTTATTTTCAACTAATACAATATACTATTATACAAATAGGCACTCTATGGAATACTGACTCAGAAGGTCAGAATGTTCGCCAGTTGGTACGCTCTTTTCTTGAAGGATCCCAAATCAGGCAATTTAGTGGGCGTTCAATGGGGACAACATAATGCGCGGTAAATTTGGTTGCAACCACTACGGATTTGTTAAATCCTGGTGCAAGGTGTAGCTACGACTACAGGGAAAGTGGCGGAGTGACGGAAAGCATCGTATTGCATAAAGTAGCATTAATTTTGAACTTTACTTAAACTGAGATTAAAAGGTTAATTATGTCCTAATTAAAAATAAATTTTGTCGTATATCACTACGTTTATAAGTTCATATAAATAAGTTCTCTAGCATTGAATAAAAATCGAAAGGGGCGGCCATAGACGACTTTCTTAGAAATTATTCAAAAGAACAGTTCTTTGTTGAGACTGCTTTTCAAATAGGAATATATTATTTGCGTGATAATAGTATTAAGATTAAATATCACTGATATCAAGACAGGTTTTACGTAAGAGCACAATCCCTGAAGAAATAAATACATCTAGAATAGAGAAATGTCCTCCATTCTCGCATTTGAGGAATACTAAAATGTCTTGCTAGATCATAAACTGGATGAATAATAAGCGGAAGTCAGCACAGTTTATCGCAAAACATGATACATAGAGGGCGTTATGAAAATATCAAGAATTTCGGTAAAGTCGACCGGATGCTGATAACCTGGCTATCTTGGAATGACAGCGATGGCACAATGCCAAAATCGGTATAGAGGTGCCGGATTTTCTAGTTTGTCTTTTTAAAGAACCGTTATGTCAAGACAACTCATCAATAAAGGCTTAAGGTACGAATCTATAGCCACTGTTTATAAGACTGTTTTTACGTGTTCCTGGACTTGAGTTATCGGCGGAGTGTTGATTTATAGATTTTCCTTATTAAAGGAAATTATAGAGCAAGTAGATAATATACTTTCTAAGTATCAATCATTGTAAAATCATTGTAGTGCTATATTAGTATGAGTAATAAGTAAAATTATAAAAAGGGGATAGAAATAATAAAACTTTTGGAGGTTGGGGCGTGCTCGAAATGTGCGTGCGAAAAATCGTAAGTATTTTTCTTTTTAAGTATTTTTATGTAACAGAAGACAAACGGGCTGGACACTAATCTCATGTGATGTTAAGTGATACATGCAAGATACACATGGACACTCACATTGCCAGAAGGTTCGCAAGTGCGTTGCCGGCCTTTTAAGAATTGCTACTTTCTTTTCTTGAAGGACCCTAAGTCGAATTGGTTTGGTAATACTTCAGTGGGCAGCTGGTCCACTTAGTATTGGTGCGCGGCAATACTGCCTCAAGAAACGCTCAGTTATGAAACGACGGACGTCGAGGTGATACGGATGGTACATGTTTACATGTATCGTTCATTTTAAAAATGCTTATGTCAGTATCGTAGTTTAAATACTATAGAAAATTAATGTAGTACAATTTTTATTACGTTTATTGGCGTAACGGATTTTATATTTAGAGAAAAGCAAACAATTACAATATTTTGTTTACTTTTGCTACAGCTACAAACGGGCAAACGAATCGTCGCGAGATTATGAATCTCAATGAGGTAGGATTTCGAAGCATGCATTATTTATTTCGATAACAAACACGCCCTACGGGAATTGTTGTCTTTCCCTATGTGTATTGTCGATATTTTTGTTTTGTATTGTTAGATTTGCTTTTGATTATTCAGTGGCTTGGCAAATGTTATTTTGTATTTAGAATTTCCTTATATGTTTATTTATTTTATCACCGAATTATTTCAATGGTTTTCTAGATTCAGTTTCTTTATGGAGTATTGTTTTTGTTAATATAACCGTTTTTCCTTCAGTGTTCTATTCTTACAGGGAATAAATATTACTTATGTTATAATCGAGTTAGAAGCGTTTACTGAGTCATAGCTTTATTTTCAATTACTAGACAAAGCCCAAATAATTAATAAAATTTTAATAATATTTTAGGGATAAGCTAGGGTTGCCTGGAAGAGATCGCTTATTAGGACTAAGGCCGCCCGTTGCATCACTTATAATTTTTATGTATTGTGTTATTTGTGTTTCTTTTATTTTCATTGCAACGAAGTGAAATAAATAAGCGAGAATATTTTTAGAATGTCAGTACAGTAGACAACACCTCGCCTACCAAATTGAGTTATAAACATATATTTAGTCTGCAACAAGGTACTGGGAGTGCAGGATGTTAAATGCATAATAATTCCTTTGGTTAACCGTACCACAGTAATTAGGTCAATCTACTGTGTTTCTTAGCTTGATGAGCACTCTCAGAATTATATATGAAGCTACTACGGTAATAGAAAGATTCAATAGTTTTCGGTGTAAAAATTAGGCATCTGGTAGAGAATGGGACACATTTTTTTTACTGATTTATTTGTGGATTAGTCCTAAAAACCGTTATGTGCCTTCTAACTAAAATAGTTATTGTTTCAATATAGAATTTGTGAAAGTCAGAAGGCATTTATTTATACTTGGTTAGTTTATATTTAGTCCTGTCACGTGGATTTAATTTGCATGGCTAGGATTAAATTGTCTGATGAGCTTTTAATTAAAAGAATCAATATTTGGGATGTATATACATGTAGTTTAGTCGGTACAATTTTTATAAGAAAATCTAATATTATAAAATGTTACTAATCGAAGTTGTTATCACTCATTTATCCATTAGCGGAAAGCAAATCTAGTCTCCTTAAATATAAACATATATTTGTATGTATTACAATTCAATACATACATAAAATATGAATTCAAAACGAATTCCCTCGACGCATTTAATGATCGCTAATCTGCTAAATTCGGTTTCGAATTAAGAGGATTGACTGATAAGTCTGATTAATTGATGTCGATATTAAAAAGACCGTTGTTATCGTGGTTATTATTATAAATGCGATGGTAGATTAGGTTTGTAATTCAAATTAAACAGCGTCTTAAAATATTAAAAACAATTGTAAAATCAAAAACCTTCAACGGTAGCCTAAGTGAGAAAGGCGATGTTTTAACGGGGGAAAGTGCCAAGATTAACCTGCGCGTAACATCACAGTACATCTCTCCTATTAGAGTATGAGAGTTATGTACTAGCAGGTGTCCGTACACACATATGTCCACTATATCGACGTAGGAAAGCATATTTGCTGTAAGTAGACAAAATACCTAAAGTGACTTTTTCCTGCCATTAGAATCAGAAAAAAGCCGCATCGAATGACCTGGGTCCTGTGTCTCTACGATGAAAAAAATTTATACGCCGTTGAAAACGCCCGTACTTATATTATTTTTAGCAAGATTAAATGCTGTATGTAGACCAAAATCAGTCATTTCAGCATTTTGCACTTACAGCAAAAGAAAATCTGCATTTTTTCTTTAGAAATACTTACTTCTTCCCATTTAAAAACTTAACGCTACTTACAGCATTTCAGCGGCGTGTGATTTTTACATTCGTTTACTTAAGCAAGTTTAGGGAACCTACAGTTTTGGTTTTTTTTTTACCATTACGACATTTTATTTCAACCAAACATTACATTACCAAATGACCCATGATTCTGTCTAATATAATTATAAAATCAATCTGATTGCAATTAAAAGTACCAATTAAATTTCCTGCATCACATATTTACCGCCTGTAAATTGATAATATTTCCGCGCGTACATTTTTCTTCCTTAGTTACAGCGTTTTAAAGGTTTGTGATTTAAAAAACTGTTTGCTGTAACTAGCCAAACACGTACTATAGTAACTTTGGATAAAAAGTTTACATTGCAAATGGTGACTGGCAGTTAAATAAATATATGTTTCAAAAATGGTAGAATATCATGGATAGGTCAGACACTATTAATTTTTTTCCGAAATTAATAAAGTTTTTGGCTCTGTGAAAATTGCAATATGTCTACTTACAGCAAATGTGCTTTCCTACGTCGATATGTAAATGGTCAGTGATAAATGAGAATTGAGCACCAAAATCAGCCACCGACCTGGACAGCGTTATTATTGAAGTTTATTTGTCAAATATTACTATACTGTTAAAATATATACCGATGGCACTACAACCTTTTTAGCTCTGTGCCTCAGACTTCTGTATCTGTTCCGTGATCATTTCTAATAGGTAGGTGATTAACCTTGTGTGCCGTCGATATTTTGGGTCTTAGGCATGCCGGTTTCCTCACGATATTTCACATAGAGTCCATCGGTGCACAAACAGGTATGGAATCTACGACCCTAAGGATGAGAGACGCACGCTCTAGCCACTACGCCAACATGTATACAGTTAGAATACATAGATATATATTTAAAAAAAATGTATTAAGATTTAAAGATTAATAAAAACAACAATATTCTACTGTGGACATTTTAATATAAATTTCCCAATATCCCCGACTCTTGTGGTGTGGGACCTTATTTTATATAATTTATAGCTTCACTCTTTATTTCCTTCCCTATCAATATTCAAAGTAATTTGATATCTTTATATATATAATTCTTCTGTGAGTGTGTATGTCACTGAACTTCTCTCAAACGACTGGACCGATTTTGATGAAATTTTTTGTGTGTGTTCAAAGGGATCTGGGAATGGTTTAGATTCACAAATCAGCCCGGCAGATGGCACTGCAGTCGGTACTTTCATACTTTGCTTAATATCCTAATCGCTTTAAATATCATGCAGGACAACGTCTGTGGGGTCCACTAGTAACCGTATAAATTAGGTTATACAAATATTCGAAACTACGATGACATTTGAAATCAGACTAATTAATAAACATTTCTCCTTGATGTTCGATTAAGGACCGTATACCAGAACATACGCATTAGAAAACGTGTTTAAGCTTGAATCTATTCTCAAGATTTATCAAACCCTTTTCAATATTGTCTAGAGCAGTGTTGGCCTAGTGGCTTTAGCGTGCAACTCTCATCCGTGACGTCGCAGGTTCGATCCCCGGCTGTGCACCAACGGACTTTCTTTCTATGTGCGTATTTAACATTCGATTGAAAACATCGTGAGGAAACCGGCTTGCCTTAGGCCTAAAAATTCGTCGGCGTGTGTCAGGCACAGTAGGCTGATCACCAATTTGCATATTAGATAAACAAATTATCATGAAACAGATACAGTAATATGAGGCGCAGACCTATAAAAATTGTAGCACCACCGATTTATTTTATTTCAATATTGTCAATTTGATCGAATCAACATCTTTTGTTATCCGCTAAACATTTAAATAAAATGTTTTTTTACGCGTGGTTACGGCGTGAAACGTTTTACAACTGTCGTGTTTACTGCTTGCTGAGAAATGAGGAAAGAGGAATTTATTTAATATTGAAAAATGATTTCAAATACGGGCCTAGAAGATATAACAGGCCTAAAAGGTACTAAAGCGCCATCTGTGAACAATTACTTTTATGAGGGAAATGTTTAAAGAGAGTTAATTAAAATGTATAATTTTCTTGCATAACTGCAATTCAGTTTTTATCGCTGCGACGTTTTATGAGTTTTGTTCCATAAATTGATTTAAAAAAAATACACGGGGAGATGTAATTTATTTTTAAATGATTGGGAATACTCAATTGTATGATTAAATTTTTATTTTATATTTGTATCCGTTAATAAGTATTACTTGTTAAACACATTTGGGTCGTAGCTGCGTTAAATTAGTAAAATAATTACTAGATATTTAGAGACTAGATGACTATAGGCCCATGGACACGTGGTCCACAACGTCCTAAACTTTGGTTTTTTGGAATTTTCCGAAGACGAAACTCCTATAATGAAACATGCAGATGAAACAGTCCCTGTAGTCTACTAGTGCATACAAGGACCATGAAATAGCCATCCTTTCTCCTGAGAAGTAATTCCCTTTTTATGGTGACGAAAGCAACACTGTGAGTCAAGTAGCCTTGCAATAGGAGATGGGACATATTTTTTATATTAGGCGTGGATGTTTCTCTGTAGGTGATCAACTTTCTGAGCCACACGACGTACGAGCAAGTGTTAGTTGCGCTTAGGGAGAAAAGTTTATTCGTGGTTTCAATTGCACGACCACAGACTACAAAAAGCTCGCTGAAATTAACCAATACCGCTCTATTTAATTTATACTTTGTTACATTAAAAGAAAAACGAATAACAAAAAATCTCTATTGTTTAAAACATTAAGAACGTAATTCTTTATTAAAATGATATTATTTAGAAGTTCTATACATTGAGTAGTTTTAAAGAGAATTTTATAAAATAATTTAAAGTAACAACTTTGTTGAATACTCGAACCTAACTTAATTAAACCAATTTAGAAAATGCAGTTCTTATAACCTCATACTAATGCATTTGCCGATAAAACGTAATAACGTGAGAAACAGAGAAATGGCGCGCAGTATGTTAGCTACCACGTCGTTTTTCTTATAATTCTCATTTATTAAGCCGTTAGATTAAATGAATTGTAAATTAAACCCTTTACATAAGGTGCATGGTTATTTTGAAAGTTTTGGGGTAACATTTGAGTTTTTAAGGATTATAACTTAAAACATAGCTTAGAGACGCTTTAGTGTCTTACGGCAGTGTCATGTTCTGTGAAACAAAATCACAAAAATATTGTTCCTGCGAATTTTTCTGCACACAATTTTCTTTAAATGGTGTATCTTTTCAAACGTCTATAGTGAATTCCATTGAAACCTTGCTAAGGCATTACTTCGTTACTGACGTGTATTTTTTCACAGTTTCTTTTTAATGTTCCTTTTTTGAATTGGTATATGAAATATTGATTTACCGGTCAACGGAAAGGCCCACAGTTATGCGTAGACATCCATCCTCCGGGTTAACAGTAGTTGAGAAAATGTCGCTAATTACGACATTCAATCAAATTTATTTATTTATTCATATTTCGTTGCATTAACATAATAAAACTTGAACATAATTAAATGAAAAGGAGTGCAACTGGTGGCCTTATCGCTTTTGAGCGATCTCTTCCAGGTAACCACTGCGAAATATGTATTAAATTAGATAAGGTAAGCAAGAAGTGCAAAAAAATATAAAACAAAAATTAGTTCATTGGTTTACTAATATTATCTTATGTTGGTTATTTATCTGCCTTCAATAAGATTATTATAAGAAAAACTCACCTATAAAGAACCAGACATAGGATTTTCCATAGAGCTTATGTTTATAGACCTCGCAAAGCACCCGTCGCGCGGCCACCACATAAAAAAGGCCGACAATGACTCTTGCGTCTTGTCGCCTTAAATTCCGCACTGCGTCGCTCGGATCCGAAAGGAACGATTGCCGCGTAACAATTTCAATTCCAGTCATCTTACAATGTGCTTCTAAGTCTTCTACGGTCTGTAAAAAAATTATTTAGATTTGCTTAAATAAAACCTCTGTTATTGTGATTTTGACTTACACTATGGTTTTATTTAATTTAACACGTTATTAACGGTGCGTTTAACATAATATAAAGCCAATAATGATTCCACATAATAAAGGCCTTTTGGTTTTAAAATCTACAGGCGCTAGTGGGTCAATCATTCACCTATTAAATTTTCCCTCAAGTTTATTAATAAAAGTATTTCCTATAATTATTTTGTATTACCGCGTGGTTCTACTCAAACTAGTCAGGTTTTAGGGATAGGCCCTAAAATCTAATTTGGAGACTTGAGATTAACATAGCTTAAAACGTAAAAATGTATAAAAACAATAGCTTTTTTTTAAAACAATTATACTTTAATATCTCAAGAAATATTAAAGTAATAACTATTATATTTAAATTTTTAGGTAAGTCTCCAAGTTAACATAAAATAAAAAGTGTTTTAAGGTATTTTAGGTTATTAATACTACGATGTAACTGATGATTAAAACAGCGGTATTTTCGGACGTAGTCCGAACAAAGAGGGCACAAAAACCAAAACCTCTTATGGGAAAGAGGCGCTCTAATTACACTGCAGTGAAAAGGCCCCGGAGCTTTTATAGACCATAGAACTATACCTCGCTATAGCACTCGTTAACCTTATAAAAAGTTTCAGAATATCTAGTGGGAAATAGATTTTTACCTACGCGGAAAACTTGCACAAAAGCGTATATATGAACTATTCATTTATATCAAGATACGCGTTAAACTATTTATTTACATACTCAGTAGTCTACAGTATATTTTTAATTAATTATTAAAAACAGGTCATGATAAAATAAAGAAAGGAAAAATATAGTACAGTAGATATATAAATAAATATAAGATTTATTAAGAATTATGGAATAAAGTGATTAAATTTAAGATTTAAGGAATAAAGACAGTAGATTTAGCTTTAATAGGTTAAACTGTGTCCAGTTTGTTTTTCCACCACACTTCTTTTCAATATAAGATTATGTATACAATAAATAAATAAATAAAACAAAATAATTACAGTTTCAGGAAAATATAACTTTAAATATATATTAACTTGACGTTTAACAATAATTGTTTTTTTTATATAATATTTTTATACAATATTTTTTGCTTTCCATGTTACAGCAGGGTTTTTCATTGATCTGGTATCAAAAACAAGCCAAGAAACTAGGCTGGATTACTTCGAGTACCCTTATAAATCCGTTTAAATTACAAAAAAAATCCAAGTTGTTCTTGCAAATTGTTTGTACATATTTAAATATTTTACCCATTATTTAAGGCTTATCTTCAGGTTTACATGTGAATTTCTTTCAGCTGTCAATAGTATCTTTTACAAAAAAACATACAAATTTCGTAACGTCTAATAAACTGACAGCGATCTGACACATGTCTGTTAAGTCAGGAGCAATATGTATAGGGCCATGTTATGTCTAATTGATAAATTTCAACCAAGCAATTTGTAATTACCCATTTGGAAATTTATTTAATTTTGTATTATCTGTTGGAAAATAAAACAACAAGTAATTATATAAATTTAAATACGTCCATGTAAATCTCTAAAGTTTACTTGAGCGCAGACCACTTTGTTAATTGTTTAACTATACGAAAGCCTATGCCTTAATCTAATTCAATTGCAAATATTCTTACTAATTACGTATAACAGTTGAATTAGTCTAAATTTTATCTTCTTATTATATTATTCTTTTTAATCTTATAAGATGTTTCTTTTATAATTATATATCAGTTTACAAATAAAAGGTCTGAATATGTAATGTATGTAATCAGATTTAGAAAACAATGTCTATAATAAGTTGGCTCTCATTATCATATGATTTTATCAACGAAATTTATAATCCCAATGAATATTGAATTTCGACCCGCGTGGAAATTGGATTCAGAAAGTACCACTAAAATTTTGCCCTTTGAATTTTATTGTAAGGATAACCTAAATCAGAACCGCAACGACGAGTGCGATTTACGAATACGACCTCCCAAGGAAAATATATTACAAGGGTACTAAGTTGCTTTCATTTTGCGTCGCGAATTTCGTTGAAAATATTTGAAAATGTATGTAAACATTTTCGCAATAATATTTACTAAGCATCGTTTACGATATTGAATTAGTTATTTTTATTCTGGAAGCTTAAGATTTATTCTATAGATTGCTTTAAAACTTGCAATGTTAAAGTAAAACTTTATATCAACGTGATTAAAAATGTAATAAATCTAAAAAATGTAATAAATCTATTTATTATACAGTAAATAAAAAACTATGTTTTCTGGCCTTGAGAGAATGGGCAAAGATCGTCAAAAAGAAAATCTATGAATACCAACTACTCCACCTCAGATTTCTGTGGCTTAAGATCGGGCGAAGTTTTCATGTTTCGGAGGTCATGATTCAATTTGGGTATGTAAGTAATCGATAGTTTATATATTACATTTTTGATTAACATCTATTTATAACATACTCGACAACATGAAAAATTATAATACGTCAAATAACTAAATGACTTAAATGTTTGCCTCAATTTCTCAGGCAGTAATCTCAAACCAGTGCAGGTGAAATAGGAAAACAACTGGACTCTCTATTTTTGCAAACTAAAATCTTATATTTGGTTGATGCATTTTCTTCGAGCTCATTCGTGTAGTTTAAATGTAAAAGAATACTTTCAATAATTTCACTTCACTACTAGAAAACTCCGCGATGGTATATCTCTTATGGATATCCCACAATATTTTTTTTTTGTCATTTACTTTTTACGACAAATATTCGAAGCGATTTTAACCAATACAGCATTAATCCTTATCCAATTAAATACTTTAAATACATTGTTTATTTTATATAGATACATACCCTTTACAGCATATGATTTAAATGAATATTTTCGAAGATATTACAGATTTAAAAATTGCGGGACGTAGCGTTTGCCGCGGTACCGGCCGGCCGGGGCGGCGCGGCGGTAGCGTGCCTATAAATCTATAGCACTTTGAATTTAGTATCAGCATTGCACCCGTGCGAAGCCGGGGCGTGTCGCTAGTTATTGATATAATAATACAATACAAAAACTTTTATTACGATTTCTTATAATAGCATTATCTACTACGGCGGCGGCGGTCTTCCCACCATGCTGGTTTAAAAAAAATTGTATGAAGGCTGTTGCGTTACCAAAGGAACCAGAACGTTAAGTTATAATCAAAAGACATGTTCGAAAAAAGTATAGAAAAAATAATTTTACGTATGCAGAATTTGTACTGTTTACATAATATGTAACTTTTCTACCTCGATGTTACATGATCCAAAGACTACGATGAAAATAGACATCTTCTCAGTATTCAAACCTTCTCGTATATAAAACATGTTCGATTCGAATTTATGACCCGACGACACGATTTCTAATCCTAAAATAGTTTTACGAGATTGACTTGGCCCAAGTAACATGAATATCGATATGAAAGATAACCCAAAATACTTCGACATGGCATTGAGAATGTCTAAGCTTAGTACGAGTGACACTATTATGTAAGTTATAGACCAACTTTTGATAGAATTTAGTGACTTATGTAATCTTTGTGAGCGCTTTAGCCAATTTATGGTTACATTTTTGCGATGTTTCATCAAACTTTAAATTAATACTGTTCGTAACCGGTTACAATTATCAACTTTACAGTGCTTCTAAATATAATAATAAATAATACGTTATAATTACATATGCATTACAATTGTTAGGTAAGAATAATTTTAAGTAAAGTACCTAACAATTGTGTGTCCGGATTACCATTCATTCTAATTTACGGCCATCTTGTACAAACATAAAACAAACTTACTATATTAAAATAATATACCAGACTACACTAAGGACTTTACAATGTAATGTGTGAAACAATAATTAGATTTAATTCTATTTTCCAAGAGCTTCTTTTACTAACTTAAATTTGTAAAATGTAACTACGAATTTACAAGCTATTAAAATGTTCATGACATTTTACAAATGTTCGAAGACAATATGTGCTGAAGTCACGCGAAAACAAAACAATATCACCAAATTAATTCCTAAGGAGTTCGGTATCTTAACATACTTGTAAGATGCTTGAGAGGGGTGATATCAAGCCTTATCTATATTGCGACCTATTTTTCCAGCGATATTGAATTTTACTGGCAACGGTAACGGAGCAGAACAATAATGTTTTAGAAATAGTATTTGTATCAAATTGTTTGGTGTCCTGAATGATGGATTTGTATAAGTGTACTATAAAATTTTAGATCAAATATTGTTGTATTGAAAAATGGTGTTTAGCAATTTTTGTTTACAACATCTACGAGTATGTAGATATTCTACGAGTATGTAGTATATTGTGAGTATGTATTTTATAATAGTGTGAAATTTTCACGTATACGTTATTAATATATAAAACAAAGTCCAGTTTATTCAAACACTTACAAAACGAGAACGACCGGACCGATTTTTATGGTTTTTGACAAAAATTGGAAAATTGAAATAATAATCTAATACAAAATGTTCATGGGTTTTATAAATGTCAAACATCATTAAAGATAATCCCGATATGGTAAACTAAAACTCAAAGATTATATTTAATTAGAAGTTTCAATCGAATTTAAAAATGTAGAATAATGTCAGATTTGAAAAAGCATTGGCATATACGATATTAGTTGTCTAATATTTATGCCTTCAGACTCTTACATGTTTTTTTTGTTAATTCTTAATAGTGAACTTAATATTTGTTTTGTATTCATTGTATTACTTTCCTAAAATCATAAATAAAGTTCAGCTTATCTGTAACGCGACACTCATTGACTGTTAAGCGGTACGAAGTTCGCCGCGTTTAGTATATAATATATAAATAAACTGCTAAAAAAACGGGCACCTAAGTTTTAGTTCTAAGATAGATTTCAGTTAATTAAATGAAAATTAATTGTCTGACGTAGTCCGTATAATGTGTAAAATTAATACGCGTGAAATGAATTTTGGCAATTTTTTTATGAATTATTTAAAACCGTTGTACACGGCCGGCAAGTAGTAGTAGTAGTGGTCGGCAATAAACACAAGAAGATTTTTTGACTATTTTAAATTATATAATGTTACAAATGTAAAAACCTAATAACGAGTGAGATAATCTTCTTCTTTTTACATTAAATACCACTTTCTTATATGACTGATAAGGGCCGGTGAAATTATAGCCCTACTTGAAGAAAGTCCCATGGCGACGGTATCAAAAGAAGACCCGGTTCGGATGTAAAACGATTCACAGAACCAAGATATGGGCGCTTTGTGGTAAGTCAGGCGTTGCGGAATCGTAAGCTGTCAAGTGTGGACCTGTAGAAGAGGTTGAACAGGTAAGGAGGAGGCTTTCGGGTACCAATATCAGGAGTCACCGCCCAGCCCAGGGCCCTAAATTCCTCCGTGCGCACCGTGTAACTCAACTTCAATTTGCTCGAAACTGTGTTTCATGGACTCTGGAGGACTGGAATGAAGTATTGTTTCCTGATAAAGGAAGAATCTCTTTGTGTGGTGAGGCTGCCGTCGAGTGCTGCGAAGACCACGGGAACCCTATGCGGACGTATGTTTCGAAGAAATCACTCCTTATGGTGGAGGCTCCGTTATGTTTTGGGCAGCAATTAATTCGACGTATGGAATTGTTTTCGTAGAAAATGGAATATTGAATGCACACTGGTACGTTACGGAAGTCCTAATTCCACATAAACAACCCGCATTGACTGCTCTTGAGGAATATTCCATTATTATGGACGACAATGTTCGCCCGTACCGTTCTAACGACGTGGAAGCGTACAAGCAAGAAGTTGCATCGCCGTCCTGAACTCAGTCCAACTAAGCATGTCTGGGATTCTAAAGAGTCGAGTAAGATCAGTGCAATCTGCTCCACAAAACATAAGAAAGCTAAAAAGAGTCATTCAGAAGAGTAGGAACGTATTCCTCAAAACATAATTAAAAACATCGTGTTAAGCATGCCAAGAAGGATTCAAGCTGTGATTTTGGAAAGAGTAGGTAGAGTAAGAACACTGGGTCTTTACATTTGTAACTTTATTTAATTAAAAAAAGTAAACGAACTGCTTGTCTTCCGTCCGACCACTTCTTATTTTTGGCCGTGTAAATAGGTTTTAAATAATTCATCAAAAAATAATTTTATAAATTGCCAGAATTCAATTCACGCGTATGAATTTACACGATATACAGACAACGTCAGACAATTAAATTTCATTTAATTAACTGAAATCGACCTTAGAATGTAAATTTCCTAAGGTTATTTGCTAGTATAATGGCAATTACGCACAATTATGTGTTAAAGTCAAATACTTACAGATATAAAAACTTCCTCGGCCTGTTGTAGTATAGCGATGCGAGACCATCCGAACTTCTGCATTAGTTTGATTCTCGTTGGATTGTGAACCGTTGCCGACGGATGGGTTCGGAAAAGCGTCGGAAAACGTGCCCGGTCTGACAGAGCTGGCGAAGACGCTCCGTAGCATAACTGTAAGAACATTTTCATAAATACTCGGTTTACACAATAATATGTGTACGTTATCTTTTTTTTTATAGAACAGGGGGTAAACGGGCAGGAGGCACACCTGAAGTGATACCGCAGCCCGTGGACACTCTCAATGCCAAGGGGCTCGCGAGTGCGTTGCTGGCCTTTTAAGAATTGATACGACGATTGGACCCTAAGTCGAATTGGTTTGGAAATACTTCAGCGGGCAGCTGGTTCCACATAGTGGTGGTGCGCGGTAAAAACTGACAAAAAAAGTGTTGGCCTAGTGGCTTCAGCGTGCAACTCTCATCCTTGAGGTCGTAGGTTTGATCCCCCAGGTGAGCACCAATGGACTATTCACCTACCTAACACTTGCTGTACGGTGAATAAAAACATAGTGAGAAAACCGGCATGCCTTACACCGATTAATGAGCATATGTCAGACTGAAGGTCGATCCCCTACTTGTATATGAAATCAAAATGATCAAACAATGGTATGCAATCTGAACCCAAGCCATAGAGTTGTAGCGCCACAGAATCAATATTTATTATTATCTTAAATATCTATTGGATAAAACGTCTGGTTTATATGTCAACACACATACATATAGTCATGGTCATATAACAAAGTTATCATTAGGATATTTTGTCCTAGTTTTACGCAAATAAAACGCATTACTTTCATATACAATAATGTACGTTAGTACCCATTCGAATTGAAATCGTAAATTTGAAGAGCTCATGTGAATGTACGTTTTATGCGTAATTAACGTCATTGTTAGAATTAAAAGCCATTATGTGGTTTAAATGGCATTACCAATACGTGCTTTATTACTTTATAATGTAACGCATCGATTTACATTACCATATAATATATGTGTATGTATATTAAATTAAAGAAATATAGGGCCTCACCATGGTAAACTTGTATAAAATCCCCATGCCAACATTTGAAAAATAATTCAATTTAAAAACTGCTTTACCTACATAGGCTATGATGTAGGGGTCCCTTTATAAATAAAAATGTGTGCGTGTACTAGTGTACACACGTAAGAAGTGAAAGCTCTTTATGACCTTATTTTTCGAAAAATGATCTACTATATGCAACTTTACAGAAATTGGTTAAATAAAGGTAAATTAGATAAAGTTTAATAAAAGTCTTTTATTATTATAGACATGAAAACAAATAATACAATTATTTAATTTTACCTTATTACTACTAAGATTATTACAGAATTTCATAAATTGTAATATAATTATTACTATTATTGTTATCGTTATTATATATTTTTGTTATTAATATAAATTATGTACATTTTATGAACGCACTACACGGTTTTTGACATAAATAATAATGATTTAATAGCATAATTTCTATTTATAACTAAATTAAATACTGCAATATTTATTAAATATAACGTGAAAAAATTATCCAAAATAAATAACAGTACGTTGCGGTAAGCCTGAAGTTAGTTTTCAGAGGTAGGCAAACTTCACAAACAACAAATCTTGCAACTAATCAATAAACTGGATCCGAAATCGCAGAACAAGAAAACAAAGATTTTTTTCCAACGTTGATAAAGAAGTTTCACTTCAAAAAGACCTACATAGTAATGATAATTATTAATAATTGTTAAATAACCAATTATAACAAAATTAAAAAGTGGCACCCTAGTTTTTAAATTTGTGTGTGTACCTTTAATGCTGGCTACATTTCCTCGCTGTATTGCGATACTTATTCGTTGAGCGAGGAAAGCACACGCTCTGGGGTCACCGGTACTATCTACCAGGCGCCAACTTCAATCTTTAATTAGCGTCTGCGCCCTTGAACCACACGTTCAAGAGTCTTCTAAGTGACCAAACTTTTTAAATGTAATTTTACCATAATTAATACCATTAAAGAAATACAATTGACATGAAGGACCAGTTAAAAAGTAAGTACTCGACATTTGCCGCACTAAAGCCGCCGGTGTTCAGTCCTCTTTTAAAACTTACACTGTTTTTACAAAACATCGTATATCTTTCTAACTAGACGTAGTGCAAGAAAAAAAAACACTCAGGGATTTAAAAGAAATATTAAAATATGCAATTCACGTCGCGCGATGTACAGATACAAGGCGAACTTAAGTGATTTCGTTTTTATAAGTAAGGAGAATGATAAGACTTATAAGTGTAGGATATATTACTGAATAGGTCATTGGGTAGAGCTTCGGGCCTAATCTTAGTTTTTCTTTATTGCACCAAGAAGAAAATTTCGAAAGGAGTTATCGATCTAAATAATTCTTGTAAACAATTGTTTTGCTAATAAAATTAACATTCCTTTAATTAATGAGACATAGAAAATGAGATATTTGGTTTCGAAGCTAATTCATGAATTGTTATGCAAACATCGTTGGAATAATGAAAATTAACTAACTTTGGGAAATGTTTACGATAAACATGTGAATAGATTGCGTTGAATAAATTGTGCTTTAAATGATTGTTATTTTACTAGTCATTTATGCTAATAAATTTTCTCATTGTTGCTGGATGCGAGTTCAAAACCCGACTACACCAATGGGTTCTTCTATTCATGCTTGAATAAGTGCTCATGCGGTTAATAGAGGAGGAAACAAGCACATCTGAGAACCAAATTTAATAATTCATTTCATATCATAGATGATAGATTTATGAAAATTAATCAATATTTTATTAGTTAATTTTAAAATGAATAGATTTTTCATTTTTAGTCAGTAGTTTAGTGCGTCATTTACGTTCACTGATATTTCTATTCCATATTTGTAATTGATGAACTCAGTACCTACTGAACTGTTTTAAAATCCGTTTATCTAAAGCTGATAAATTAGAATTTAGATTTTTAGTACTCCTACAGCTAGTTAAAATAATAATTACAAACATAAAAACAAAAAATAAATACATATTTTAACATGAATACAAAACACAGTTAACAATTATCTTAAAAAATTAAAACAATTTAAAAGAGTACATTACACAAATACAAATTTACTAAAATTTCTTTTTTATTTCAAATAACAAACTAACCATACGTTATAAAGTATATAAGTTTTTTAGCTACGAGGCGTTATTCATTATAAATGATAGTTTACTTACACTGTATTTAAGAAAAAAAATATTGCAGAACAACAAGCCGACTGGAAGCTATCTATAAAATGAATGGCATATAGATAGAATTAAGTAAAATAAAAATTTTCAAGGTTTGGTTAGGAATGAAAGTTGAACTTTTACTTAGTATATGTATACTTAGTATATGTAAACTGGAAATGAATTAAAAGATCAATTAATATTTGAAACATACCACCATTAGATTCCACATTTTGGCCGCTTCAGCAACAGTTGTACATACGGTAGAACAGCCAGCCAGTAGTAACAACTTTTGTGGAGGGTTGTACAGCAAATTGTACATTACACTCGCTCCAAGCCCTGGCTCGCACTGAAAATGTTTGTCTAGTTAGGCTTGAGTTATTAAAAATTTAAAATAATTATGAACTAATTTACTAACTTATTTTTAAATTTGTTCAACACGATAATCTTGGGTATTAATTTAATTACATATAAGTTAAAAAAGCGCTTAGGTTTTAATAATTTGCCATTATAAAGGACGTAAAAATTCATAAAATTCACTCACGCCTATTTCAAAACGCGCGACGAAACCGTTATAGGCACTATGTCACGTGTAAAAAATACTGATTGATATCGCTATAGATACAGATAAGTTACTGTGTCTACCCTTTTCACAGATCAAAAGAAATGGTACAGCGAAAATCCCATATTCACAAATTCTTGTCACTAACTTTTCCATAGAAATATTTGAACTAACAAAGTTGCAAAAGCTAAAACGAATGTCAATCATTTCTCAATTGATATCAGCGGAAATCACTTAGTCGATTCGGAAATTCTATCGTATAAAATTTTCCACGATCCGTTCATAAATTTTCAATAATTGATTCGAACGTCAGGCTCACTCGTTATTGAGTAAATCTTCGATTGTAGATTTTTATGGAGATAAAACCTTTTTGCTAATTACCAGGTTTACGGAGGTACTATTCACACCTAATGGATCAGGTTTATCACTCGACTGAGCAATGCGATGAGCATTCCGTTGATTGAAACTGTAATTGGGATTTTCGCCGTGGAAACTTATGACCTGACAGCTCGCAGCCTCGCTTTAATCATTTACTTTTCTCTTTACATGTCAATGTCAACGTCAAATAAAATATGCTGTTTTCAAAAGTGAGAGTGAAATCCAATCAACATGGATTTGTTGACATGCGAATTTTCTTTTCTACAGGGAGTAGTTATTACAATACAGTATTAGCGCCTTTTCAGTAATAGTATTGTAATTTAAATCTTAAATAATCTCCCTTTATATTTTAGTTACGAATTGTTGCTTATGAAAATATATTTTACTAGTGGACCCCACAGACGTTGTCCTGCATGATATTTAAAGCGATTAGGATATTAAGCAAAGTATGAAAGTACCGACTGCAGCGCCATCTGCCGGGCTGATTTGTGAATCTAAACCATTCCCAGATCCCCTTGAACACACACAAAAAATTTCATCAAAATCGGTCCAGTCGTTTGAGAGAAGTTCAGTGACATACACACTCACAGAAGAATTATATATATAAAGATTAATCCCAAAAAAAAAACAAAATAGGTAAACATTATGTACCTTACTATCGTTGCTGTGAAGAAGTAATTTAAATCCCGATAACAAATCAGACCTCGCGTTGACATCTGCGAGTGCTAACTCAGCGGCAGGCATGCAGGCTTGGCCGCCCTGCCAGCCTCCCTCCCCTTCCATAGGAAAGATCCCACCTATATGCAAGTCGTCATCCCGTTTCGCCTCACACGTGGAGAAACAGCATAGTAAAAGTATTACCCAAGGTTTGTCACGCACAGTACACTTGGCAACTACGAATAATTGCACTAAAGTTTTCACTACAAAATATACACTAGTTCGAAAGTTTTCTTTTAATTTGACTAGGGGGTGTTTTGGAAAATTATAGTTCAGTGTTCGCGTCAATGTGATGTCGCGTATAATACATAATGAGTGTAGTAGCCTTATAAGCGTGTGTTTGGGCGGCGTTGGCGGGCGGCGCGCGCTGTGGACCGGCTCGCGACCCCCGGCGCCCAGGGTCATCGCTCGCGGCGGGGACATGCTGTCATTGTTCGCCTTTCTCATTTTCCATCATCTGTCCTGCAACAAAAGATGCCACCTGTTACCGTCATATAACACCTTGCACGCATTTGTACAGACTACGGTACATAATACATTACGCTTTTTCACTAAAAGCCACATTTTTCAACGTTTTAAAACCTTAAATCACTTAACAATATCATTCTACAAAAATTCACGTTAGTGTTATGTACCACATAGAAGTACTATCAAACTAATTTGTCTTAGAGAAGACGTACTTCATGACGTTTAAACCAGAAATCTAGTAGACGAACCTTAATGAGTCTTATATAACAATAAATATTCCCATCACTAAGTTTCCTCATAATTAAAATACATAATTAACTACTGCATCAGTTTGCGTAGAAGGCAATATTTTTCAATATGAACGATATTAAATTCTTTTTATAGTCCACAAAGTGCAATCTATTGTTATTGAACAGTCAATAGCAGTCATATTAAAGTATCCGCAATCTCCGATTAGTCGCGTCATGTTAGCATTGAACTTAAGAACTAATCTCAAGATAGCTTAGATCCATCGTATCTATTAACTAATATCTTTTATTGAAATATTGGATAGAAGTAATAAAACTGAGATAGGTATTATCGGAACCTCTTTTAATTTCCAATATAAAGCCAGTCCTTTTGTATCGAGCTCAATCCTTCGCGTCGGGGTTGTAATCAATAAAGATTATATAGGTATATATTTTCGGTTTCACACTATTGTATTATTTATATTATGATTATAAGATAATAATAATAATAATAATCAAGCCTCATTTATTCCTTGAAATTTTACAAAATATACACACTCAAAATTTTATACAGAAATAATTATAAAAAAATTATATATGTAATGTCGATCACATGCTTATTTTATTAACTACATCATTTAATACCTTACATATGATTGTTGAACTAAATCTAATATTTCAAATATATAAATAAACGTATCATGCAAAAGAATAATGAGAGCGTCACTTCCACGTTAGTGGAAAGTGTATTAAGGTCAGTACTCACATACGGTATTACTCGATCGAGCTATACTGTCGAGTAAAACCCATGACATGGGCTTTCGTCCACACATTGAGCATTGATCTATCGAGTGAGGCGCGCCGTTCAGTATTCACCGAACCGTTCGAGCCAAAAGATGTCTGTGCAACAAAGGAGACGGTGGCTGTATTTAGCAAGTCTCACAGTGCTTTATAAGAAAATCAAAGAAAATGAAAAGAAAAAACGTTAAGCACAGCTACTAATTTATCATAACATTCATTTCTCATATTTTTGTGGGAGTAATCTTTGGACTTGACATTCCATAAACACTCACACAGTCTATATGTGTTAATAAAGTCTTCTATAGCGCTTTTGGAATTTACTCGCAAATCCATTTCTCTTAAAAACACGTGTTTCAATCACGATAAACAATACCAGACTGACGCTCGCCTCGTGCCACTCGCAGTCACGTACACACGTTCGAGTCAAGATTGACGGCTCGCTTCGAGTAGGTTCGAAGGAAATTACTTTCATTTAATTCCATCGAGCCGGCTCAGTGCGAGCCTTCGAGCTGTGAGTTTTGCGGTCCACACGTTGATTTTTACTCGACTTCGAGTAAAACTATCGAGTAATACCGTATGTCAGTACCTTTATAAAGCGATGCAAGTATAAGAAACAAACTGCATTGTTTCAATAATGTTATCAATCATAATCGTGTGATGTATCACTTTATATTAGTTCCTAAACGTCGCGATTAAGTTCATCCCCAGCTGATTGATGACTTCCTTTCTTAGGAAGTTGTAGAGCGCGTCATTGCCGCAAAAGGGATCAAATAACGCGCCATTAAGAACTTTTCCATCTCGCAATTTCCACTAACATTAACTTGATTTTGCCTAAGTGAAATTGTTACTATCAAGTTATTAAAATATAGTAACTTTTCTTTGTCTTCGTGATTTAATCTTGGAAGTAACATATCGGTTGTTATTAAATGTATGTATAAAGCTATAACCTAAGTTAAATATTACATATAGTCCGGTCAATTTAGACATCCAAGGTTACAATAATTCGCACTTGGCTAAATATTGGTAGGATTGCTCAATACACTATTATAAAGGAAATGTGAAAAGTCCTCATCGATCCGGCACGTGCAAAAAAATTTACTCCGGGTCAAAGATCACAAAAATGGGTTTTTCGCGATTTTCAGCAAAATGGTAAGTTTTATCATAAAATTAGTGAAGATTAAAATTGTAGATCAGATAATTATCTATAAAAAATGTCTGAATACTTTTTTTCCTAAGAGCCACCGTTTTTGAGATATAACGATTCAAAAAGTTGAAAGAGTTGTAATCGTCATAGTATGCACACGTTTCCACGCCACCTTTGAGGTAGTGTACTTAGCGCTTTTTTTTAAATGTGGTTTCCCCGGTAGGCCTATTCCACTGATCTTTTATGATTCTGTTTAATTTGAAACTATTGAATAACTGTAGATATTGACAAGGCTTGAAAATGATGAAAGGGGTGTAAATTACAAAAAATAAGAAAATTTATCCGTCTGAATCTAAATCATCATTAACTTCTGCTTTATCTTGTTCTTGTTCTTCTTCTCTTTCTTCTTCTTCTCCTTCTTCTTCTTCTTCTTTATCTTCTTCATTCTGGGTGTTAATAAATTGTCCCAATAATGACACATCGCATGTATCTTCGTCAACATCAAATTAATCTTCAATTGTTGGCAATTCAACATTGGAGCATGACCGGCCTTGACAGTTAGTACATGCTACAGAACAAAACAGTCCAACTTTTTTGCAACCACATTTAGCACTACATCCCTTTTTACAGTTGCAAAAAATGGTGTTTAGTGGCTTCAGTGATGTATATACGTGATGTACTTATACATATTATGACGATTACAACTCTTTCAACTTTTTGAATCGTGATATCTCAAAAACGGTGGCTCTTAGGAAAAAAAGTATTCAGACATTTTTTATAGATAATTATCTGATCTACAATTTTAATCTTCACTAATTTTATGATAAAACTTACCATTTTGCTGAAAATCGCGAAAAACCCATTTTTGTGATCTTTGACCCGGAGTAAATTTTTTTGCACGTGCCGGATCGATGAGGACTTTTCACATTTCCTTTATAATAGTGTATTGAGCAATCCTACCAATATTCAGCCAAGTGCGAATTACTGTAACCTTACCCCTATTTTTTAGTCTAATTTGACCGGATTAATAAGAAAACTTCAAGTCAATAAACTGACACTAACTTCTAACCGACTTGAAAATAACTGAAGGAAAAGTAATATTATCTTTATTTTAATGTAAATATCTAACTTATAGTCAAATGTTCATTTCACATTTATTATCTAAATGATCGATAATCTTTAAATCTTAATCGCGTTTGTAGTTAGACTATAAAACATCTGTCACAAAAACATCGTTCTTAATTTTCCAACCATTGATAAATGATGCCGTGAAGCCGTTCGAAATCAATACTTTCATTGAATAGAAGCACTCTGTCGATAAATATTCATTTTATTAAGATTGAGATTTCAATTTGGCATAAATTTATGAATAAAAATACTTTGCGCTTTCTTGAGCCAACGATGAGATTTTTTTCTATTATTTTAAAATTTAAAAAATGTCATGAATCTGTAATGTTCACTAGGACGCTTAGTAAAAAACAACTGCGTTTTTAACGTTGTCTCCTACAATATGTTCGAATACTGATTTTTTTTAATTTAACAGGAGGCAAAGGGCTCCTGGCTGTTTGGATCCTATTGGATGCCGAGAGGGGGATTCTCCACCGCGAGCGCGTGTGGTACCCCATAAGGTAAGTTTCTGTTTGTTCTGCGCCTTCATATTTTTGGGGACGGGTTCTGGGAATATCTTTTACCGCACGAAACGCGAGTATAATAAGGTTTTCTGAGAGACAATGGTACTGCCCCGGTCGTGCCTGCGCATTTGGCTGAAGCCCGAAGGCAACAGCATGGAACTCACAGCAAGGTTGAATGATTGCGCTGGTGAAAGAACCTCACATGTTATTTCACCAGTGGGCGATAGGGTCGTCACGTCCCGTAATTCCCCTTGCAAGGCGGACGGTCTTGTAATGAAAGAAAAATTACGAGAGAATATTCTGAAGTTTAAAATGCTTACAAGACTGTTTTAATGTCAATTAATATCTTCTATGGGTATGAGCGCTTTGTTATTTGTCTATATATTAAATCATACTTGCCCTTACTGAATCATCAAAATATACAATCACAGGGGTAAGATTTTTTTTATTTTTTAAGTTTATTTCATGATTTTTGGAAATTTTGACGCTATACGAGTAGACGTATGGTTAAATCCCGGTTCAAGGTAAAAATCTTCACATCGAGTAAAACCGCATTCTGCAGCAATTAAGTACAATATTTATTAAAAGTTACAAAATATTATGTTTTATAGGATAGGGGGGCACTCGAGCCTACGGGACGCCTCAAGAGAATAGTCGCCGGAGCCCATGGACACCCATTTTAGTGGGAGTATTGCCGGCCTTTAATTTAACAATTGGAGGTCTTATCTCAAAATGGGAGTAGATTCCATTCGGCTACTTGGCTATGTATTATTAGCCTTAAAAATCTTCTGAAAAATCTCTAAGCGATGATAACTTCACTTTATTCTCACAACTTATATTATGTTGATAAAAGTATACTAATCAGTTTTCATTCAAGTACATCGTCTTCATTTACGGTTAATGAGATTAAGCCATTATGACAATTATGACGGTAAACCGTGGCTCAGCTTTTTTCCGGTGCGATAATACCATATCTTTTTATTACGAAGCATCGCTTTTCCTTATTAATATAAGCGTTTCCATCCTATTACACAATAGGGAAATACTCTGTTGGGTTTTCAATAAATAGTTATTAAAATGTATGTTCTTGTGATATTTTTTACTTTAATACGGTAATGTCATATTTTACAGAAATATATATCGTAATGAGAAGCCTTGAGAGTAAATAAATTGAGG